CCCCCCAGTAATTCGCACCCTGCACGCGCACAGACACACACACACACACACAGGTTTGTTTTTATGGTTTATGGGGACTCTCCATAGGCGTAATGGTTTTTATACTGTACAGACCGTTTATTCTAATGCCCTACATCAACGCTACCCCTAAACCTACCCCTCACAGGAAGCTTTCTGCATTTTTAGATTTTCAAAAAAAACTCATTCTGAATTATTTATAAGCCTTTTGAATTACGGGGACGCTGAAAATGTCCTCATAAATCACCTTCTCGTTGAAATACCTGTCATACCCATGTTATTATACAAATTTGTGTCCTCATAAACCACATAAACATACACACACACACACTAATAAAGAATAGATTATGTGAAGTGCATTAGAGCATCGCGGTTGATTCACGGCGACAGATGGTCCAAACGCATGGAGCCGGTGATGTTGATGGCCATCTCAGGGAGCAGAGATGCCGATGCTTCTCACCTGAGCAGCTTCAGTTTCACTAACGGCGCATCATAACGGCAGTGAAGCGTTAAACAGGCTACCCAATATAGTAATGAAGCAGATGCGATGAACTGCGTCCTGTTGCGCTGCTGCGCTCGGTCATAAAGATCAAATCCACGGGGCCATTTCTGCAAAAACGCGCGTGAACTCCCTCGATGAAACAGATGAATTAGTTTTATTTGTCGCCCGGTTTAGATTGGATCGCGTTCATGAATGTGCAGCATAATGAACAATGGGAAGCTGTTTCTCCTGCGTCTGGGAAAGATATTCATACACTGGTAAATTAAGTCCAAAATTGTACTCTAAAGTACATCTTCGGATGCAATCAAAGATCAAATCAAAATCTGAAAGAAACCATAGGTTGGACGATCCCGGTAAGGTCCACTGCTAAAGAGAGGTTCACCAGGAGACTAAAGCACGCGCAGGAACCGGCACCCGGTGATCTCGAGCTTCGCCGCCTGCGCGCATGTGATGGAAGTTTGTGAGAACGCTTTCGTTTTCACTTTAATCGTCTAACCACACGTGTTGAGCTTTATACGAAGTGAAATTCAACAATGACTTGACATAACATTACTGCTTTCATAATAATCATGTCAGGTCCTATACAAATCTGGTTGAAATGCGCCTGTTATCTTGGTCGAGCAGAATTTTGGGTGAGTTGTAGACTTGAAATGTTCCATTCAAACCAGTGAGCTGTGTTTATTAACGCATTCTGCAAATTCATCCAGGATTACAGCAGCGATGATATATTGCATGCAAATGCTGTTAATCTGTCCTGAATAACAAGCGTTTAGGACTACTTGTGGGTTCAAGTTGGAAAATGCGCCCCCTTGTGGACCACACATTATTCACATTTTCAAAGTCAGATTTAAACCTGACAATTTAAAACAGTTCAACTGATTTTTTTTAATACTATCTGTAGTTCGAATCGAAACTTGAATATCCAAACATACATAATAAAATATAGCTATAATAAACCTAAACATACATGTTAATACATCCGTTTAAATATGATATAACGCATCAAACCTGACTGTGTGAATAATTGAGCACTGTGATTGGTTGACCGTTTTCGTCAAGCGGTGCTCGGCGCGCGCGGGCTTCACAAGCTAAAGCGAAAACCGTCTGACTTACTGAAAATATATATTTTTTTCCTTTCTCAAATGGGGTATTTATTGTCCACAGTAAAGTTTGTTCATATCTGTAGCATTGTAACTCTCATCACACCATCCAGCCAAGTCAAGACGATCGAGAAGGTAATTCTAGCTTAGCTTTGGCTGATAGCAAAATACTGCAAGCACAAACTACAGGCTAGAATTAACGTAAACCTCTTATGATTGTTAGAAATAGTAGCCTTCATGTTTTATTCACTGTAGCTACGTTTGAGAAGTGCAGTATGATTGATGAATGACTACTGTACTCACTTGCAATCAGGACACAGACAGATGGAGCTGGAGGACAAAAAGTGAGCATAGTACGAACAGATGACATGGAGGTGAGTGAAATATTAGAACAAATGTTGGATATTCATCCAAACGTGCAACCTTCACGAATAATGCCAAATATTTCAAACATGAATTCACATTTTTTAATTCCTGAAATATATGAAAATGTTTCTAGAAATATATCTTTCTTTAAATAATGAAGTTTTATTGTGTCTTTCTTCCAAAATAATCAACTCTGCAGCTAATTACTTTGTCCTCTTCTTTAATAAACCAAAAATAGTTTTATAAGACAAATTATACTACATGGTTCCACTCCTCCATTAACCTCCATCTTTAAATCCTTAATTAAATGGTTCAAGTATTACTGTTGTTCTAAAAACACGAAAAAGAAATCAATCTTAAATATGTGGTTGTATCTAATTCATCCATCATCATTGCACTTATGATTTTAATAGAGAAAAAAGAAAACTACAACCATTATCTATAATATACAATTGCAACATATCTTCCGGTAATAATAATAATAATAATAATAACTAATATCAACTTACCTCAGAAAGAACATTTAACTGTTGGCTGTGATAATTTTTTCTCTAAATATATAAATAATTAAATTAGTTTGTCCTAAAAAAAAACAGAACTGCATCAATTTATTTTTATGATTCATCATCAGTAGGTGGCGCTAGTGCAACAGCTAGTCAACAGCCGAAAAAATTAGCTTTCTAAAAGTGAAGACAATGCATATTAACAAAAATGAACAAAAAGACAGAAATTAGATTACTAAAGTGCTGTAGAAAATATAACAGAAATACTAATTATTTTAATACTAATAGTAAGTCTTGCCAACAAGCACACACTTTGACCCCTCCATCAGATATTGTACATCTAACTCTATATACAAATACACCCTCCACAGCATCTAAAACACATTGATGGCATTGACAACAAACAGCTCATTTACTACAGCTTTGTGTCTTTAGTAGAGTAGAGAACATTCTCTCTCTCTCATATATACACTTCCTTCACTCCTTTTCTCCCTCATGTGTCTTTTAGACACCTCCTTTTTTCTAGTTGCCACAACATCATCAGTAACCCAGGAAACCCATTGAAACAAGAAGGACCCAGGAAATGAAGTAATGATTCAGGAATGTTGGGAGACAAGAGTTTCCCCCACAGCTGAAATCTCCCTCTCCAGAGGAGAATAGCAAACAGAGTAGCTCTGTCTGAAGCCACATGAGGTCAACAGTCCTTGGACAACAACAAAACATTACCCATAACACAACAGAATGCATGATCTAATTACAACCTATATCTATGTAAAAATCTCTACTAACCTAATAATAAATAAAACAGAGACAAACAGAAAGTTGTCTGAATATGATCATTTGGCAAATGCAGTCATATAGGTTAACAGGACCAAAAAGCTGTTTGGCAATAAGAACTTCAATAGGCTGTGATGGTAACCTGTTGGGCCTTCAGTAAAGTGTTAAAATCAACATAATTGATTAGATTGAGAAAAGTGTCCGTTTCATACCAAAATGTAGACCGACCTGAATGTGAGTTTGCAGTCAATCGTGAGGAACCAGTCTGTTGTTGAAACCATTAACCACTGTTAAATTACTGCATTATCTATTGGCAAGATTTATAAAAAATAAAAAAATTAAAAAAAGCAATATTGCTTAAAATAATTGCTCAAAACCATTTTACAAACTGCTCTTTGAGGCTCCCAAAAGCGTCCTGGCCAGGATTTCTATATTGCCTTGCTGAAGGTAATGATCAAAAAGTAGTTTGACCAATAACATGCAGGCATTGTACATAATCGACCAATCGTGACACGTGAGAAGGTGGGATCTACAGAGAATGGTCAAAGCGATCTAAATACGTGTACATATTACGTGTGTTCAACTTTGAAACAAAGTAAATATAGTTTTCATGTTGACTAAGTAGTTGAAATCCTACAGGCATGTAATTAATAAAATACCATGAATACATAAATATGTCTAAAGTTTAAATACTTAAAAAAAATGTATGATTGTTGAAGCAAAATTATAGGTGAGAGTTTAAGCTACAAAGAAACCCAAACTCTTCAGGAATGTGGTTGCGTACTGAAGACTCAAAATGACTGCATTCAGAAGGGATTAGCTAGAACACAAGAGACCCAATTAGAAGGCTTATGGGATACATTTGTAAAATCCAGGTAGAGCTATTGGACAGCTTAGTGTTTTCTATTATAGTTTGGGATAGGTGATTGATACTGGTCTTTAGTGCACATGCTGGATTGAATAGTGCTCAGACTGTCAGTGATGTGTCTCCAGTTCCACCACAGTCCAGTCACCCTGTGGGGAACTGGCCTGGCTGCTGGGGGAGTAACTACTGACGGAGGCCACTGTTGCGGTGGAGCAGTCGAAGTGGGACATGATGTGTGGGCACATGCTGCTCTCTAGAGGGCTGAGGATGCCCCCTCCCTGACCAGGTAGGTACAGGATCGGAAGACAGCCGTCCTCCCCAGCTAGAAGCATAGCCTGGTTAATAAGCTGCTGGACCATGTCCAGTTTTGTGTTCCAGTCTAGTTCCTGTGGAGGTGGTCGGCGAAGGTTTCCATTGGCCACTCTAAGCGGTAGGTCTGTCGGGATGGAATGGCCTGTCTGGTTGGGGGAACCTTGGTTGGCGGTAGATCCGTTTTCTGCATCCCCTTCTTCCTCGCTGGTCTCCATGGCCTCATAGATGGTGCAGAGTCCAGATGAATGTGACTGGAGACACGGTTGCCCTTTCACCTGCCTTTTCACCTGTGACTGATGTTTGAGTCTCTGTTGCTGCTCCATCTCAAGCTGCCGTTGCAGGAGCTGTCGGCGGAGTCGGTGTTCCTGCTGCTGCTGTTGTAGTTGCAACTGAAGCAGCTCTCGACGTTGCCTCTCCAATGCCCTTTGCTGCTCCTGCCACTGTCTTTCTTCCTCCAGACACAGCCATTGCAGCCGTTCCTGTTCCTGGCGTTGCCGAATGTGCCGCAACTGCAGCTGGTGCTGCTCTAGCCTTCGCAGCTGCACATTAGGCACCGATGGAGTCGGTGGGACCCTCGGAGGAGCATCAACATGTTGAACATTGATACGAAGCTGTGGCTGCTGCAGTTGCTTGTGGGTGTTTGGCAGAGGGGCAAGGTACTTATTGTCATTCAACTCTTGGGTTAGCCTTGGATAGTTACCATTCTCCTGTTGGCTCAGTGAAAGCTGGTGCTCACCAGTCTGTATAGTGTTCCTGGGTTTCCCTGTGGACAGTCAAGAGCACTTGCAACATGTGTTTACTGACAGAGGCATTCATTATGAAGAAGGGTGTGACCAAACAGGAACAGAGGAAAAGCACAGACAGAAAGAGAAACATGCAGACAATAAAAGAAAACATAAACCAAAGAACAAATTAGACAAATCTTAATGAAGTAAGGAATCAAGTTTTCCCACACATCTTTCCTCGGTCCAAGCATTTTAATTGGCTTTCCTACCTGCCTGTCAACGTATGTATCTGCATACCTCTGCGCAGCCGGTTCACGCAGACAGGATACTCCATCAGCGCGTTCACGCACGCTGTGCGAGAATGGCAGACAAACATCAACAACCCGATCTTCCTTCCTGGTATTGTAGTACTTTTAAAGTTTTCTCACCGGTGAATGACCCATGATGTAGCCCAGCGGTTCCCAATTCCAGTCCTTGCGATTCAGATAACCAGCTCGTTAGAAGTGAGCTGCGTGCATGAACTGTGTTCCGATCGATATGATCCCTACACAGTGTTCATTGCTCCCTCCTCCCTGAGCAGGGGAAATCCGTTGAAGTTTACTTCACTTAGGAACATGGGCTGGAATTGGGAACCGCTGATGTAGCCTATTGTATTCTGGTCTGTGAGCGTAAATGCGTTCAGGGGGTGTGGCTTTGGACGGCGATTGCAGGGAGGGTGGGATGTTCGCTTTCAGTGCTATCAGGCTAAAGTTAGCATTTTCCAAGATCTCCTACTGCACCTTTAATATGTTAAGATCCATCTACTGCATCTGTGGTGTGCTGTTGATTATGAAAAAAAAATTCTACTGGCATTTAAAAACAAAAATGTATATGGGACAAGTGGTCAACTGCTGCCAGAGAAGCTGTGGAAAGAGCTTGTATTTAACTTAAAATATTCCTTTCAAGTAATATTTAGTATACAGTGTTAAAACAGAAAATCAACTGATTTAACCAGTGAGAGCCCACCAGTGAGATTTACCAGAATAGTTCAGCACTTCTGATTAAAAATATTTTAGCGGTGTAAAGAAATTCACCAAATCTTTCAGAGTTTGTGTGTTATTTGGGACTAAACAATCCAAAAAATATATAATGTTAATAAAATAATAATTGAATTCCATTAACAATGGACATTTTTAAAGTGTTGATGACCTAAACTTGCAAATTTAATTAAAATTATTTTTCTCAACATACCCCATCTGCCACATATGATTTTACATAACAGCATAAACTAGAGTTCAGAGTACAAAGGACCTGAAACAAATATTTTTCAAAGCAGAGACAAGGAGATAAACTGATAGACATTCACTACATCAAGAATGAATTGTACTTTGGCTAATTTACCTCCAGATATTTTTGATGTAAAATGACTATTTTTGATGGCAGGTGGGTGAAACAAGGAAGGAAGTGAAGAGGAGATGAGATGAGATTCCATACTGAGAAGAGGAAAAACAAAAAGAAGATTCTCTGGCACATCCAAAACTAAATTAACATTCTGGGAAGATTTTGAATTTTTGTGTTGAGTTTGAGTTTGTGTTTATGCTTTAATGCATAATGATGACAAAAGGTATTTCTTGAAACCCATTAACCAACTCCTTGAGATACCATGCAACCTTGTTGTGCTGGGCTTTCCAGGTGGGGTCCTGTTGTTGGGTTTAGGGGTCATGACATGCTTTAGTAAAGGGGGATCATAGACAATGAGCACTGACTGTCATTTCATCAAAAATACATCTGAAATAAACACCATTTCAGTAGATATCTGTTCAAAACCAAATACCACAGGAGCACTCAGACGAGAACAGACCATCAAGCCACTCAAAATAAAAAAACAAACAAACAGGAACAGACAGCATTGCAATGATGTTTAATGGAATTTTGGGAAAAACCTTTCAGTTATTGTAAATCATTAACGTCCAAACATCCCTGGATCATGTCTGGATTCATAGCAAGAATAATTTCTTAACTAGTTGCACATGCACTTCCAATTCTTGTAGAAATGTCCCAGTACTCACAGTACACTGACCTGCGACCATCATTTTAAAAATTTACAAATGCAGGAAAACACTTCAATTTTCATTAATAGAAATAGTCTGCTCCGAAGTACAAATTTTTAAGAACTGTAAATGAAAGAATCCAGATCAATCTGAGCCCAGTACTTTAAAACACTTAAGTTACGTGCCAATGAGAATCTATGTTATCCTTCACAAAAATGGGCAGCAGTAGCTCAAAACTAACAAAAGACAACCAAAAATGAAGTATGACTTGCCATCTAACACTCATTTACCTCCCTATGTCAAACACTGAGAGTGAAAAGCTTCTGAAGAATATTTAACCTGTATTTAATGCTAAAACAGTGCTGGAACACGTTTTAAAAGAGAAAGCTGGAATAAGTTTTAAAAGAGAGTAAAGCTACTTTTACAGTGCAGGAAAACTGATGTGTGTACAAACATTAAGGAAAGACAGGGATCTTAACAAATAAAAAAAAAACTAAGTATAAAAAAATGACATTTGATTGGTAAAAACAGTAGGATAAATACAAAGGTAGTTGGAGTCCACCGAGTGTGTTTATTCTTTTGCATTTTTGTCCTTTCATTAAAGGACATCAACTTAACTTAGACTAACATAGGTTCAGGGGTGCCATGAAACGCAGTGTTATTTAAAAAGTATATCTAATAGAAAATGAGAATAGCTACTGTACATACAGAAATTTAAGCCATACAATCATAACCATCACCTGGTAATAGAAGAGCAGAGAGCAGCTCAGACAAAGCTACTATCCCTCACCTGATGGCTCTTCTATTCTTTCCCTCTTCTATTACATATTTCTATTCATTTATTTGCTTGTTAACTCCACATTTGGAAGAAATGAAGGACACAGGGTGGGAGCGTGGGGTTTGGGGTAGACAAGGTGCATTCCAAAAGAGGGACTTTATACGTTACCTGCCAGAAAGTTATCAGTCTTATCACATATAGTAGAGTAGTATGGTGGCTGACGGTTAGAATCGTCCCCATGTTGGGGTGATAGGTGCATAGGGGACTCAGGATCCATTTCCTCCATTGCGCCTGGGTCTGTCTTACTGCACAGCATGTAGTGCTCGTCAAACCCAGCATCCCTCTTTGTGGGCTCGCTGATAGGCAGCAAATCCACTGGGCAGCCCAACAAGTCATCACTGTAGGTGGTAGCTGCTGGCAGGGTGAGCTCCTTGATGAAAGAAGGATCCTTGGCCTCTTCCGGAAGCTGCTCTTCATTTTCCAGGCTAAAGATACCTGGACTCTTTCCACAGCTTTCAGCCATAGAGTGGGCATTGGAGATGGATGCGGAGCAGTCAAAACCGTAGGAGGCCACAGAGTTGGTAGAAATGTCCCAGTACTCACAGTACACTGACCTGCGACCATCATTTTAAAAATTTACAAATGCAGGAAAACACTTCAATTTTCATTAATAGAAATAGTCTGCTCCGAAGTACAAATTTTTAAGAACTGTAAATGAAAGAATCCAGATCAATCTGAGCCCAGTACTTTAAAACACTTAAGTTACGTGCCAATGAGAATCTATGTTATCCTTCACAAAAATGGGCAGCAGTAGCTCAAAACTAACAAAAGACAACCAAAAATGAAGTATGACTTGCCATCTAACACTCATTTACCTCCCTATGTCAAACACTGAGAGTGAAAAGCTTCTGAAGAATATTTAACCTGTATTTAATGCTAAAACAGTGCTGGAACACGTTTTAAAAGAGAAAGCTGGAATAAGTTTTAAAAGAGAGTAAAGCTACTTTTACAGTGCAGGAAAACTGATGTGTGTACAAACATTAAGGAAAGACAGGGATCTTAACAAATAAAAAAAAAACTAAGTATAAAAAAATGACATTTGATTGGTAAAAACAGTAGGATAAATACAAAGGTAGTTGGAGTCCACCGAGTGTGTTTATTCTTTTGCATTTTTGTCCTTTCATTAAAGGACATCAACTTAACTTAGACTAACATAGGTTCAGGGGTGCCATGAAACGCAGTGTTATTTAAAAAGTACATTCTAATAGAAAATGAGAATAGCTACTGTACATACAGAAATTTAAGCCATACAATCATAACCATCACCTGGTAATAGAAGAGCAGAGAGCAGCTCAGACAAAGCTACTATCCCTCACCTGATGGCTCTTCTATTCTTTCCCTCTTCTATTACATATTTCTATTCATTTATTTGCTTGTTAACTCCACATTTGGAAGAAATGAAGGACACAGGGTGGGAGCGTGGGGTTTGGGGTAGACAAGGTGCATTCCAAAAGAGGGACTTTATACGTTACCTGCCAGAAAGTTATCAGTCTTATCACATATAGTAGAGTAGTATGGTGGCTGACGGTCAGAATCGTCCCCATGTTGGGGTGATAGGTGCATAGGGGACTCAGGATCCATTTCCTCCATTGCGCCTGGGTCTGTCTTACTGCACAGCATGTAGTGCTCGTCAAACCCAGCATCCCTCTTTGTGGGCTCGCTGATAGGCAGCAAATCCACTGGGCAGCCCAACAAGTCATCACTGTAGGTGGTAGCTGCTGGCAGGGTGAGCTCCTTGATGAAAGAAGGATCCTTGGCCTCTTCCGGAAGCTGCTCTTCATTTTCCAGGCTAAAGATACCTGGACTCTTTCCACAGCTTTCAGCCATAGAGTGGGCATTGGAGATGGATGCGGAGCAGTCAAAACCGTAGGAGGCCACAGAGTTGGCTGACTGAGGCGTATCACCATCTTCCTCTCCAATCTGTTCAGGAGCCTCCTCATCTTCCTCCAGGACAGTGAGGTTGTGGGGGACTGTGGCATTGTCATCAACTGCAACATCAGGGTCATTGATTTGCATCTCACCCTCTGTATCACTGGCTTCATCACCGGAGGTTGATGGTGATGATGGTACAGGGGCTGGTGCTGTTGCAGCATCACCCAGTACTTCGTCAGCTGGCAGCGTTTCTGCCTCTTCCTCCTCCCCATCACCTCGCTCAAGGTGAATACCTAGGTCCTGTTCCATGTCTGTATGCATGGCAGGGACTGGCGTCTGCTGCTTGTCTGATCGGGATTCTACACCTGAGCTGCTGTCATAATCTCGAAGCTCTTCAGGTGTGCTGGTCTCACTGCTGCTATGGGCAGCCAGGGCTGTTCCACTGAGGGTGCTGGAGTGGGACATTCCAATGGCAGGAGGAGCTAAGATACCCGACTCCACTGGGACTGAGATACCTGTCGACTCTTGGATGTCAGGTTGAGGTTCTAAGGTCTGAATCAGGGGTGGACTTGTGTCCAGAAAAGTCTCAGATGGGGATTTGGGTGGTGTATCTGGTTCAGCTGAGAATGTGGTGATTGTGTCTAGGTCGGC